CATGCATTAACCTAAAAAACAGGTTAATGACAAATACATTTGTCAAATCAAAAAAGTTGTTTTTTTTTGTTTTTTTTTACAGTATGTTTATTTTTTCAAAGAGTGTTTAGGTGACGTTGGGATTCTGCACTAAAATGTCTATATTTGGTTGATTTTGCTGCCTTTGTAATATGTCGTTGTAATTTCAGATGCCAATCCAAGCAGATGTTTTCTCAATTTCTGTGTTTTATAAATATCTTAGCACAATTTAAGTCATTAAAGTAATATAGTCTGAAGAATCTTAGCTTAATATGACCAGGAACATGAACTAACAAGGTAAAAAAGGTACATTTTGACTTCAAGTTGACTTTAACAACCTGATGGTTTGAGGCAAGCACGTAATGATTTAAGTTCCATAACTTGTTAGCTACATTAGCCTCGTAGGTCCAGTGGAAAAAAAAGAAGCAAACTTCAGCTACCAAACATCTTGGCTGATTGACTACATCTGGCGTTGACATTTTTCACCAAACTACTACGTTCATTCTGTTGAGGACTGTCTCATAAACACTACTGATGTGTTTCGCATGTGGAACCTTCCAGAATGCCTAATTTCTTTGCATTTTCTTTGAGCATGGCTTGGCATGAGCAGGGGACAGGGGCCCTTTCAGATGCAGAGCTTCACCCTGGGGTCTGAGTTCCATTTAGTCCTATTCACCGATTTGGCTGCATATGCATTGAGAACTCATACTCCTGCAGAGGTCTTCATCTTGCAGGGTCTCACTGCTCTATTTTCGATCGGTGCACGTTCCCAGCTGTCCTGAGTGCCTATTGTAGGAGATAGGGACACTTCACAGAGCTTCTTTTTAACAGCCCTCGCCCACGTGCACCGCAGCATCAGATGTGCAGCCGGGAGGACGTGGCGTGAAAGCCTTCATCCTCCCTACTTTTCCCTGCTTCTTTCGGCCACCCTCTTTCACTCGCTTTCTCACTTTCTCTACATCTGTCTGTCTCTCTTTCTCTGTCATATCCCTCCCTCCCCTGGAGTTAACTCGCAAATGGAGCTTTGAATCCTTTCAGTCGAAACCTGCACTTCTTGTAACTTCTAGGCTTGTCCTTAAAGCTAATACCTTCACCTCATTAAGATAAGGTAAGCATGGCACGGCACAGCAGTAATATTATTCATACAATGTTTTGCCACCAGTAGATAGCAGTGACGTTCATTTTTATGTCGAATTCAGGCTTCATAAACTTTAAACGACTCCAAACTTTCCTCCTTTCCACTACATAAACACAAAAAAACTGGATGCTGCTTGCATTCAGACATTAATGCGAGGAGGCATATCAGTCCTGCGTCATTTAGGCCAAAAAAAAATATTCAACATTTGGCTTTGGAGGTTATCTAACTTTATTTTAAGACATCAGTTACCTTTTTCCCTCTCGTTCCCTACTGGTATGACTCATTATTTAGAGATCCTGTCCTCCATGGTCAGGGCTGGAAGGTCAGTGGTATCCTGTTAAGGAGGGCAGGGCATCTCTGGGGCATCTCTGGGGATCCCTCAGCAAACAACTGGAGGAAATGGACCTTCAGTATACATATGCTAATGGGCGGCTAATCGAGCAGACCTTGGCCAGAAATAGATCAGCACAGATAATGTGGGTTAAACTCTGCATGGTTGTTTATATTTGGTTAAAATTATGGGAAGACCCATCTAATTTTGTAGGCAATCTGAGTACACATTGTATTTAGCATTTCTGCTCACAGAATAACTAGAAGAAGGAGTTTGAAACTGGACATAATGGGTAGTGACTTCTGCTGTAAAAGAGCAAGAGGCAGCAGAATATTAAAGAACTCCAGTATCTTAAAATATTCATAAATGACAGCCCCAAGTATTCTGGAATCGTTTCAGGATGGAGAGTGACCAAACCAAGGGAGATTTGTAGGCGGGTATGACCTAAACGCCCATGTTTTCTGTAGTCTAACGTTCAAGAATGTTAATGTTTAGGTCTTGTTACATCCTAATTGGGTCAAAAACGTACCTATCCTGATCCATTTTTTTTTGCCCCTTAATCCGATCCAATTCAAGTCCTTTAAAGTTGAGGCTGGTACTAGTCCAATCCGATCTTTGCTAATGCTAATTAATACTACTGTAGCATTAGTTTATTCTTAGTATATGTGTAATGTGACTTTCTAGACTGATATTTTTTGTCATTCTTTTTTTAATGACATTATATAACATTATATATATTGGCTATGATGGCTATAATATATTGGCTATGATCACATCTGACTGACCTCTGTCATGATTTTTCTAGTAGTTACTCTGTAAGATCACTTCATTTTTGATATGTGTAGTAATATACAGACTGACCTGAAACCCTTTTTCGTGGTCTATTAATAGTAACCATTTTAAGTATTGTGAATTTGCTTTGATTTTAAATTGCTTTTACATGTCTGTCGCTACTCCTGTCTCTTAGTTTTGTTTTCATCCAGTTGTGACTCACGAGTGATAAGCCTGACTGGATTGTATTTTATACATTTCTAGTGGCAGAAAATAGATTTAAAGTGTAATAGCTGATTGCTTACCTTATAGAAGTGCTGAAGAAGTGTTTCTTTTCCATTCTAAAAGAGTTTGACACTGCAGAGGTTTAGAAAACTTCTGAAAATGTGCCTCATTGTTATAAGTTGTGGATAATACCCGTTTATGTCATCTCTATGACAGTACCGTAAGTAGAACACAAAAACCAAGAAACAAAAGATCAGAACTGGATCATCTTAATATAGTTAAAATATACAAAGTCTGAAAATTTGGGTGAGCGACATGGTTGGGAACCACGGCCCTCTTGGTGTCCGGTTCGGCTAGGCTTTTCCCATGGTCCAGGGGGTGGTGCAGGGATGGCTATTTCCAGATTGAAGCAGTCAGGATTTCAGGAAGCAGTGCAATATCATGGGGTCCAAGCACCCCTAAGAGGTCTCTGTCTGTCAGAAGAGCACTGCAGAGGCTTTTCTCTCAGTCCAGAGGGTAGGGCAGGCATAGGTATTTCCAGAAGGGAACCATCAGGATTTCGGGAGGCAGTGCAATCTCAGGGGGTCCAAGCGCTCCTAAAAGGTGTCCATCTTTGTCAAAATAGCACTGTACATCCCTCTGTCCAGTTGGGACATTTGACCGCCTGGGGCAGGCACCTGCCTGGGCCAAGAACCCCCTGTGGGCAGCAGGATCCTCTCTGAACCTGTGGCTCTGCCTCGAGGTGGGTATTGACACAGGAGCAAGCTAGTTGTTAGAATGCCAACTGTTTGTTACTGTTGTTGTTTGTTAAAGTTAATGTTGTGTTGGACCTTAATCGTCTTCATTTCAAAGTAAACATATTTATGCCTAGTAATTATATAAACATTCTGTTTAATGACTATTTCCCTGACTTCATTACATTTACAAGTGTTTTAACAGCTTTTTTCTCCACTGAAATGAGCGAAGTTTTCTTAAATATGTACCAAGTTGCTAGCACAGTGAACATTACTTACATATACCAGACCAAAGCCATTAGAATCTCACTTTGAGGAAATTCGCTAATCGTCTGAGCGCTCGGGTGGTTTTATTGGAAATCCTGTGTCTCGCCCACTCTACAGCACATGGTCGAGGAAAGCGTTATCGGCCCTTTAAGAGCAATCAGTGCCTCTGTGGTTGCTACGTTACACACATCAGGCCGTGACTGCTGCTCATTGCTAAGCGACGGAATTCTCCAGGTGTGGACGATAGGCCAAATGTCAGTGTTCTTCAAAGTTTAATGAAGAACTTTAGTACAAATGTGAGAAATAGACTTTCCGTTTTGCAGATAGTAAATGCTGTTACTGTCACTGTTACTAACCATGACTGCTTGCAGACTGTGGACTACAAGACACAGAACCAAAGCCCTGTAAATTTGTTGCGTTTGGCCCTGACCAAGGATCACTTTATTTCTATCTTGTCCATGACCGGAAATAGGGCTGAGTACTGTACGCATCTGGTCATGAGTCACTCTGATGGGAAGCACCTTATTAAGCAGGATCCCACCCTGCACACCAAGTCTTTCAGGGCAAGATGTATTGGGGGTGGGGTTGGGGTTATGAAGTTCACATCACGTCTTGAAAAGTTATTTAGCCAACATTGACAATTTCATTATGTCTGCTAACAGACAACCACATTGACTAGCATTGTGCTGAGTGATGGGGACAGAGAAGACCATCCCAGGGAGAGTGAGGCCAATTAAGTTGTTTGGGACTCCCAGCCACGGATGGCTGTGCATTGATGGGGATCGAACTCACAATCTCCCGGTGATAGGGTGAACAATTAGATGGCTGTGCTGCTTTTGAGCCCCCAGTTGTTTAGTTTTAAGCATTTGTGTTTTTGTAGTTTTGACAGACATCTGGTCCTACATGTCATGCAATAACAACAGTATGTGGTCAGTCATTTCTCATGCAATATCAAGGGGTCCAAGCACTCATGAAGGGTACCAAGTTGCTAGCACAGTGAACATTACTCACATAAACCCATCAGACACCATATGATAAAAGTATTTAACTTTAAGCATTCTAGCTAACATGATATTCCAGATGACTTTTTGTGGATGCTTTTATTGATTCAAGGGATTCACAAGATCCAAATAACATAAATAATACCCGCCAAGTTTGCGTCAAAAGTTCAGTGGTGTTTTTTTTGCACATTGCTAGAAGGGAAGAGTCAAAGTTTTCTTCCATGGACAGCTTGTACTCTGTTTGGAGAATTGTGGGGAAATTTGTTAGTTTTTTGTTGGAAGATGAGAGGGCTTGTGTCTTTGCAAAATAAAACAAACTCTACGTGTTTGGAATGTATAATTTTATAATCACAAGAATGAGTCACTCTTAATGAATATTTTTTGATCTTAAAAGATACTTTGAGCTAAGATGTATCAAGTCTTTATCTGTTTATTTGCTCAAAATATTAAATATCTCTCTCTCTCTCTCTCTCTCTCTCTCTCTCTCTCTCTCATGCAAACTGTTCTCTGAGCAGAAGTATAAGCCGGGCCGATGCGATGACATTCTGAAGTGGAAGCCTCCCAGCCTCAATTCCGTGGACTTCCGACTGAAGATCTCTAAGGTTGGAGGGGAAGGGTAAGTCTCTGTCACCACAGCAACAAGCCCCTCCATAGCCCCAACAACAAACATCAAAACGTGCACACCTGCCATCTACAGTGTTGTGTCTTCTCTTTGAAGCCTCTGTTTGTAGCATTTGTGTGGCAGGTGTATTTTAGATTTGTATAGCTGTGCTAGGAGATTTATACCACTTTTGGTTTGTGTGTGTGTGTGTGAGATTGAGAGAGTGGGTATATTACATAATTCCAGCCCTGAGTCATGTGCAGGTAGTAGCAGCAAGCTTAATTCAGCTCGACACATACTTATCTCCCAGGACACTTAACAATATTACAGTTGCCGTGGCGCAAATGAAAATCACCCCGTCTGTTTGCCCGCAGGCCTCTGTATTGTTATGAGTGTTATTATGGCCCAGAAATTGACCTTATTCCTTCTGTTTTTTAACTTCATTTCTGAGGGGAAAAAAAGTAGTCAGAAATCATTCTGTTGACTCCAATGTCAGCTACACTCTTAGCAAAAAAGGTTTTGTGGAACCAAACAAAGGTTCTGGAACTTGTAACATGCGTTTGGGTGCTATACAGCAGAGCTCATGCCAGCATCCCCATGTAGAGGTAGTGTTTGTTATGACACCTATCTAAGAAGACTATTTTTTGTGTATTATATTGTATATATTGTATATGTACAATATTGCAGCTTCTGTTCTTTTCGGGAGGCTTGATTTCACTCTGAGGGGATATTTTTCAACATTCTCTAAAGTTCAGTCTTAGAAGTTGGTTCCATTTTTCAATCCTTGTAAACCCAAACACATTTAGTAATGTTGAAGTCTGGGGTGGTCAGTCCATTGTTCTGAGAACACCACCAGCTTCTTTGTTTGATTTGCAAGCAATGGCTTCTTGACAGCTACGCATCCTTTCAGACTCATAGCACTGAGCTGTCTGCTCACAGTGGAAGGATGGACAGAAACTCCTGTGGATTTTTTCAGATCTGAAGGAAGAGTGGGGCTTGATTTTTCCCTCAAGAATAAACACACTGTTTATCTGATGGGGCAGTTTTGGTGGTCTACCACACTAGTTTTGAAAACTCCTGTTTTTCTCCGCTTATATTGCTTTGAACGTATATGAAAGATATGAAACCATTTTGACTAGAAATTAAATAAGTGAAAATAAATGAAGGGTGACACAGTATTGTAGCTTGGGGCAAGCAGCAAAAAATAGACTTGAGTGCAGTAACTGCGCAGACCTTCTGTCATTGTTCCTGCGACACTTGATAACTTGATAGTTATTGCCTATGTTTGCACAGGCCGATATATGAGGCAACAGGTTTTCTATTACAACATTTAGCAAATTTTAAGCAAATTCTGAATTAATCAGTGATTCCATCAACTGTGGTTAAGTGTAAATTCTTAAACATCACATGACACACTTGCACACATGGAGCAAGACAAGGAGTCGCTCCATTTAGCTGCAACAGCGGAGAAACCCATCCAAATGAAGTGCCATCGGCACTTAAGCTGGGTCTTAGGTGAAACATCAGTAGAAACCGTTTTAAATGTCCTTATTGAGGACCAGTTGTCACTTGTGGATTCAGAGAGTGTATTTCATTTTTACCTTTCTTTGCTTTGATTTCCCACCTGACCTTTCTGATTCTCACTGACTGAGCCAGAGCTTTCAGGCTACAAAAGCAGGATACCCCGGATCACGTGCTGCTTATAAATGAAATGAAGACCATGCTCACATGGCACAACCGGCACATGTACTGGGTGGATACTGAAGCGCAACAAAGAGTCTTGCTCACTGTGCGTGACATGTAAAGTAGAGGGATTTGAACGTTTATTAGCTCTCGGTAGGGTAGTTTTGACAGTCCTCTGTCAGTTGTACATGGCTGTAGCACTAACAGTCCAGAGACACCGGACATAGCAGAGTGGGCAGTAGCACATTTTATGAGGGCCACTTCACAGTCACCCACCAGGACAAGCAGTTCTGTTAGGATGTAGTGCCAAACATGTGACTTTCATTCCCGCTACGTCAACACTTATTCAAAAAAATCTGTTTGCAACACCTTTTTTCACATTTCACCTTTACCCATAAACCAGCTTTTCCATCTCATCCTCACATAAAAATGTCTTTTGCGCCGTTTAGATGTTTTCTCAAATTTGTAGCAGGTTTTTAATGCATATTTTGAAAATTCACAAAAGAGCAGTGGATGGAAAAACCCAATATTGGTAACAGGCATTTTGGAAGTAGTGCAGACACAGAGTGCTTTTGATCTAAAATGTGCTGTATTTAGGTCTGTTCTTATGGAAGGAAATGATCCAGCTTCCTTTCGACCCTTTCGATCATTCCCACACTGCAAGCTACGGTTTGAAAACTACTGAGGTATAGAACTTTTTTTAGAAGCATCTTTAAAGAATTACAAACAACATGTTTTCTATCACGGAGGAGAACCATTTGACCATTCAAAGAACCATATAAGCCAGGGGTCGGCAACAAGCGGCTCCGGAGCCGCATGTGGCTCTTTTAGTGTCCTGTTTCGGCTTCACAGCAGAATACATTTTTTTTTTTTAGGTAAAAATAAAATAATCCTCCTTTGCAGTAAAATAAAGTTCTGCTGATCGTTCTAACACAGTTTTAGGAATAAATGTTCTTAAGTGCTGGAGTTAGTGTACCTTATACTCTTTTGACCCTGAAGGTTGGCGCAAGGTTGACTTCTGGTCACATTGCAACGCAGCAATGCCTAGCTAGTAGCTAATAAAATGGCAAAGAAAAGATTTAAGACAAACGTTGATAATTTGGAGATGACTTATTTGCATTCATGAGCACTCCAGCTGGTTTGCTGATACGTTTAATCTGCAACACACTGTCAGACACTAAAGTTGCAAAGCTGATGTCAGCTTCTTGTTCAAATTGTCCCATTCCACTTTAAATAGTGCAGCACTTGCATTCTGGCACATCAGGCACTAAATAAAGTGGAACAGGAAAATTCGAACAAGAAGCTGGTCAACGAGAAGCTGACTTCAGCCTCGTAAAAGGTTGAATGTTGAGAGACATTTTACAAGAAAACTGTTCTACTTTTGAGGAAAAGTTTCCTGCTGGAGATGCGAGAAAAGCAGCTATAGCTGAGCTAAAGATTAAAGCGGAGCAAAGTAAGTCTGTGTTTTCGTTTATATTATACTTTTTAGCCTATACTAGGACATCAGCACATAATGAGACATATTTACAACCAAGATAGTAAAATGGACATAAAATGTTGTGGCTCCCAAAGTGCTTTGATTTTTGTTGAAAGGACAAAATGGCTCTTCTTCACATTTGGCTTTCCGATCCCTGATTTAAGCATTCAAGTGGTTCTTTGGGTTGTGTGGTTGAGTAGACTGCATCTTGATAGATCTTCTGGTAGCTGTTTTTTGCTTGCTAATGGAGCTTTGAGGCTCTTCATGGGCCTCATGTGGTATTTGAGGGTGTTGTTCCCTAGAGCCAGTGTTAATGATGCTTAGATTTCACAGTCTATCATAGCGACTAATGATACCAGGAAAATCTCTCGCTCTCTCTCACTCTCACTCTCTCACTCTCTCTCTCTCTCGCTCTCTGACAATCCCTCTATAGCTCTCTCACCCGCCGTCTCTCTTTATTCCTCTCTCTACCTCTCCCTCAAGCCACAGTCACAACAGAAATTTGCGGTTTGTGTTTCCTTGCAGACTGGGCGTCACCAAGGCTGGCTCCTCCATTTTGCAGTTAGCATGCTTCCTCACCAACCATAAACAATAAAAATCAAAGTAAATATATTTCTATATTTGAATTAGAATAATTATATGCTTGAGACAGTATGGTGCTGCACACTGAGTTGTACTAAAAAAGTTTAGGTCCTGGTTGGTGACATTGGCATGTCTGGTGTGTGCAGCTGCGTTTAGCCAGGGAGCTAGCCTTGCAGTCATAAAGCTGGCTAACTCACCCAACTACTAAACAGGAAAGTCACAAAAGCATAAGGCAATAATACAGTCTCCTGACTGAGTGTGTATCCTGTGTATCATATAGTGTCTCTTTCATATGTTTATAGTATTTGAAATGTTTATAGGGTCTTGACACTAAGACACTAGATGAATTATAGTTTCATACGATTTAGATCTTCTTGTTATTCAAAGCCCCGCCCCTTCAGAGATAAGTGCAGACGAAAAAGTAGTGTTACTGGCTGAGGATGCAAATTTACTTATTTGACTTCACGAAAGATGAATTTGATGTGAAGTTTCCCACGCAAAACTTATTTGCTATGGAAGCCGCTCATCAAAGCAAGTTCCTGTGAAATTAATGCACTTTTCACTCGTGAAATTTCACTGACAAGTGCTAATGTGACTGGGCCTTCTCTCACTCTTTCTTGTTCTCTTTCTTCTCTCTCACATTTATTGGTTTCTTCATTACAGTGTGCTGACTCTGTTCAGTGTTGTGCGTGTGGTAGTCTTGGAGGTGTTTGGAGGTGTCTGGGTGCAGGCAGTTGAGAGGAGAGACTGTGCAGCTCCAGTAAACAGATCAATAACTCCCACATGAGTGGACATGGATCTCCTTATCCCACAGTTGTACTGGACCACCCCTGCCTCTACTCTACTGAGACCCACCATACCTCTGTACACTCACACATTGAGAAACCTTCATCTCCACACGACTGCTATTACAGCACATACACACACTGCAAGTCTACTGCTTACCTCTTAGGGATTTGTGCTCGGCCTGCATCAAAGCGTGCAAGTACCAAAAGATCCCACAGATTGTCCAAAAATAATGACCAGAACTACCCAACAAACTAAATATTATGCTGCCCTAATATTTTGAGGTTTAGATTAGCTGACAATTATAGAATAACATTGATTCCTCTTACTTAAAAACAAAAGCACTTTATAATGTTCTGTAATGTTTATATGATGCATGTGGCAGTTCGGACAGATTGTAGTGCACCATAGGAAGCATCATTTAAAATTCACTTTCCAAGGACCCTCTGGCGTTTATCGTGTCTGGCTCATTTAAGGTAAAACCCAT